TCAGCAGCAATAAAAGTTAATGTCTTCGACCTCCATTCAACCATCGTCACTTAAACCTCTGTCCATCTATAAACTGTTCTCTTTTAAAATGCGTCCAAACCTCTTCCCTCAGTCAGTTTCAGTTGAGATACATCCGTCTGTCGAACATTCACTCGTGGTAGAAATGATTTTGTCCGTCGGAGCATCAAACATTCGTCACCACAGCTCCCAGCAGGCCGAGGTCGTCGTAGTGGGTTATCCAGCTGTTTTTATCTCGTCCTTAAAGTTTTTCCTCAACCTGTTTTTATCAGTCAGCCACACTGGGTTTCCAGGCTGTAATGGATATTTTGTCCACCTGTCTTTGCCAGCCAATCAGATCCATTCATTCATTCATACCTGATGGAAAGGCTGGATCCAGACGTGACTTTGGTCAAAACACAACCTTGTTCCTCCTCAGTCCGTCTCTTTTTTCTTGTCATCCACGTCAAAATCCAGCACCAGCAGTTTGGTCTCCTCCGTCCCGTTCCGGCTGCCGGCGGCGCCCACCAGCCGAGTCTCGGACGCTCTGATTCGCCATACCACACCACCTGTTGGGGAGGAAAGACGTGGCATCAGGTGACAGCAGGTGAGTGTACAGTGGGGTGGAAAACCTGCAAAAGTTTTGTTTACTTCTGAAACAAATGTTAATGCTCAATAACTGTGGTGGGGGGGCGGCCCGTAGCCGAGTGGTTACGGCACGCACCATATACTAGGCTGTTCACTGCGTGCATGACATTGACAGATGGAGTCTGACCACTGACATTTGTTTCCTGTCCACCTCTCAACAATTTACTGTCTTTAAAGGTTAAAAGCCCCAAAAATAAAACTAACACAATAAATACATGTGGTGGGAGCAGAGGTCGAGCACCTATGTCAGAGCTCCATGACCCCATTTAACCCAGTCTTTGTAGCCCGCTAAGAGCCCTTCTGTTGTCGCTTTGGGGTTTCTCAGCATGTTTCCAAACAGATTTTCAGTGATGTTTAAATCAGGAGACTGATGTTAGCTTGACTTGGAATTAAAATACTCAGTGTTGGGGATTGTACCGTTTCTTTGACGGGGACAAAGCACAATTCATTTACTGTATTGGATGTAACCAAATCCATCTGTAGTCCCTGCATGGGGGCCACCAGGGACGCACCAGCTACAGAACTAACAGGTAACAGGTGTAATTAAAGCACACAACAATAAGGAAACACAGAAGGACCATCAGTACTCACCTGATGTCAGTTTACATGAAGGATTACTTATTGTGACACATGCAATTCAACACGTTTGTAACTATTGTAAAATAACTTTTCATCTGTGAAATCTAAAACCAACATCTGGTGTTTTCTCCTGTCTGGACCGGTCAGAGCCCGGCACAGAGACACATCTGACGAGCCAGATGTGGCGTCTTTGTCTACATGTCCATGGGTGTAATGCTGGTGTGGGCTGCTGACCTGATCCCCGGCTCTGCAGCGCCACCACGTCCCTCAGCCAGGCTCCAGTCCTCAGGTCCCACAGTTTGACCGTCCCGTCGTCGGAGCTCGACAGGATCAGACCTCTGCAGAACTGCAGGCACGTCACCGCTGACTGGTGCTTGTTGGGACCTGAAACACACATCATCATCATCATCACCACATAACCTGTTTACCCCTCGTCTCCTCTCCATGCTCTCTCTCTGTACACTCGCTGTCTGGTTTGATTTTTCCTCAGTTTCTATTCACCTTCACGGTTTCTTCTTCCCTTCTTTCCTCACTTTTATTTAATTAGTTTGTTTATTTTACAGGAACGCTGTCACACACACAGAGAAGTGAAACCGCATGTAGGGTGTGTGAAACTGATCTGTAACTCCAGTCTGAGGTTAGGCTTTAAAATCATCAAACATCCAAACAATCACCCCAGTAAAGAAAAACAGGACAAACTAAACTGACACTCCTGTTTACATATGTCCACGTGCAGACACACTGAATGCAATCAGAATCCATGTGACCCTAATGGTACAACTTTAACAAGTGAATCCAAAACACTACTGTTTGTTCCTTCACCCCTCTGTTCCCGTGTTTCCCCTCTTTCTGCCAGAGGACTGCAGGCTGTTTCAGTGCTGAGTCGGCACCAAGATGGAGGTCGTCATGCACACACGGACAGTGACTCTCGCCTTCATACTGTTGTCACCACACGAGGGGTGAGCAGGGGTTTGACCACCACTAATTACCAACCAGCTCTATTATCCTCAGTGTTCAAAGAATCAGACCATATAGAACATAACGTACAATGAAACGTTAAGACGACGTGACAGGCAGAACAAACCGGTCAACGGTTTCTAGGTAGGCAACCTTTCCCCTGGTTTGTAATATTCATGTACTGCACAGCCTTTATTTGATGACCTTAGCTAGCCAGTTGGATGGCGAGCGAAGCTGTATAAAGTTAACTGGCACCCTATGAAACAGCAGCTCATATCCCATCTTACATGTATGAGACACAAGTACCTTCTCTACCCAGGTGTTCTGTCCAGATGTGACCACGATGTAGGAGTGAGTGTGGAAGGAAGAGAAATCAAAGCGGTGCAACAGAGAAAGGAAGGTCAAATGGAGAAGGTGGAAAAAAGAGGAAATGTAGGTAGACTAAAGTAAAAACGGCTCAGGTGGAGGTGGTTTCAGTTACAGGGCCGATCACACTCAAGAACAGCTCCAACAGTAACTGACTCATCCTCTCGGGGGATGCTAGTGTTGTCTCTGTCTCACCTTGCAGGGTATGGAGACACTGTCCCGTCCGGATGTCCCACACTCGGACCGTGGAGTCGGCGTTCCCGGACACCAGGATGTTGTCACGTAGCTCCATGCCGCTGGTCAGCGACTGGTGGCCGGTCAACGTGTGGACACACCCACCTGAACAGGAAACAGCCAGTGTCAGAGCAGGCTGTGCTATTTCTAACCAACAGGTTTTAATATCTGAACTGATTCAGGTTGATTGTTAAGCCAATTTAAAGCCACAATGTGCAGACTTTGTGTGTCTGTAACGTTAAATTACATAAATTATACTTTTCACAGTCACAGCAAGTCAGAGATTTAAAGGGTTTAAATTAGTGCTGGGCAACGATTAAAATCCTTAATCGCGTTAACTGCATGATTTGTCTGAGTTAACTGTGATTAACTGCATTGATATGAGCAGTATTCAATAATGAATTCAAGTAGTGTATTGTGCACTTGTATTATACAAGTACTACTATATGAACAAAAGTGCAATAACATTTGGTTTGCAAACACTTTAAACAAATAAGGTGCTTTTTAACAGAAGCATTCCCTTTACACAGTAGCAGAAAATCTCAAACAATGTAATCAAGCTCATATCACATCAATCAAGGCTCATACGTGCCATCATTCATTGCGATCCTAATAATGTTCCTCAGACCAACATCTTCCACAATACTAATCAGCCTGCAGTTTGTAGCTATCCACTTAGCTATAGCATTTGTTAGCTTGTCTGGCTTTTGTTTATCTATAACTTCTCCCTCACGCTACATCAGGGGGTCTGCCAAACCCTCCCTCCGCTATTTGTTTGGGCGGGTGATTTGCTGGCATCAACGGTCTGTATTGCATTTAAGTGATACTTCTGACTCGAAGTACTCTGGTGATGACAAAATTCAGCTTTGCACTGGATACACATGACTTTGGTTCTATCAGATTGGAACTTTGGTTCTAAGAGATTTAAATTGAAAAAGTCCACATAAGAGTCCTTTACCTTTCTCAATGTTGCCAACTCCTCAGTAAGGAAAGTAGCTATTGGCTGTCCTAAAGTCGCTAGAAGTCTCTAAATGACGTCATCGCCTAATTTGCATAATAATTTATTTGCATGTAATTGTAATGGACGCTGTAGGGGAGAGGAATGACGTCATGGGAGACACAAAAAGTGAGTAAAAACACCCTAAATATGTTTAGTACTACAAACGAACTTTATTCTGTTGATTCTTGGTTTGCTTGTTTTTTATTACATAAGTCAATTTTGTCCTGTATTGGTAAATGTTAGAATATCAAATTTAATCAATTCACCCGCTTCCTTTATCCGGCTCAGCGGCGGCTTTGCGCTTGCGCGATTCATTAGCAGTCTGGACGCGGGGCGGTGTGGGTCTCCTCTGACTGCAGCTGGAACTGCTGCGTCAGGCTACTGTGGGAGCTTTGGGACGGGGGAGGGGCTCACAGCAGCACCTGCTGCTCATTGGGGACAGTAAACGCAGAGTGATACGTGCTTTCACGTCAGCCTCCAAAACACCAGAAAAAGTCGCTAAATTTGTCGCTAGTCGCTTTTGACAAAAAAGTCGCCAAGAGGACTTGGTAAGTCGCCAGATTTAGCGAGAAAGTCGCCCAGTTGGACCAGTTCAACTGAGCGCTGCAGGGTCTTAGACCCGCCTCAAATGCTCTTATTGGTTGAGACGCGTCATGACGCCCATCTCAATCCAGTACTGATCAACACCCCGTCCCTCCTGTGACCCATGGTTTGTCAGTATGTGTACTCAGAGCCAGTGAGCAACGGACTTTCAAAATAATAATAATAAAAATAAACTGCGTTAATGCACGATAAAATAATTTTTGGCATTAATGAAGTATTGCGTTAATGCGAAAATAACGCGTTACCTTGCCCAGCCCTAATATTTATAAATAGGTTGTCTCTTTTTTCCATAGTTTAAATAAAACAAATGAAATCTGGTTCTGTTGTAATTTGAAATATGTTTGTAATAAATAAATGAAATAAATAAGGAATGAATCTATTTTTGTGCTACTGCACAGATTTACATAATATCATTCAACAAAAATTCTATTTATTCTCACTCTGATATAAACAGGGTGGACAAAATATTAGAAACGTCTTCCATGACAAAACCACCTTTAACAGTTTAAAGATGTTAAATAAAATGAATTTATGGAGACTGATCGGTGTCTGTACCTGTCTCAGCGTCCCAGACTCTGATTGAAGTGTCCAACGAGCCGCTCACCACGAAGGCGCCATCAAACTGCAAATCGGGAGCAAAAGGTAAAAATCTGCATTTTGCATTATTCAGTAAATGTCAGAACAAACTGCTGATGAGAAACATCCTCAACAAGGTCAGGAGGCAAATAAAACCCCACGACATGGTATCTTCTTTAATGCAATGAATTTCTGTTGTGACAAATTATTGTAAAATAAACAAAAAAGATTTTGTTTTGCTGCAGGACGGGTCGATTAGACTTGGTTTGATCTTAGTGTTCCTAATAAACTGACCACTGAGTGTATGTATGAACCCTGTTCGTGTGTGTTTACCTGCAGCGAGTACACTCTGTTGGTGTGTCCCTGCAGCGTGTGCAGGCACACCTCCGTCTCGGGATCCCACACCTTCACCATGTAGTCATAGCCGCCTGACACCACACGGCGCCCGTCGTATTGAACACAGCGCACCGCCGCCACGTGGCCCGTCAGCACGTGCTCACAGCGGCCGGTCGTCACATCCCACACCCGCAGCGTGGTGTCACGAGAACCGGATACCACCCTGAGAGTGAGAGAGAGAGGCATTACATCCCTGCACCGTCAGCCAATCAGGTCAGATCAACTCTGCGCCCGTCACATGAAGCTGTCGTGTGTGTGTGTGTGTGTGTGTGTTGTCATGCTGTGTTCACCCTGTTTCATTATGTCCGTTTGTATTTGCCATGTAAATGTATGTGTGAGTTTACTATGTAAATGGGTGTGTACAAAGCATGTGTGTCCATGTGTTCAGTGAGTCTGTGTTTGTGTCGATGTGCAGACTGTGTGTGTCTGGTCCACAGGTGTGTTCATGTGTGAGTGAATTTATTCTTTTTGCCCTGTTCTAGTGTGTTTGTGTGCTTATGTGTAGTATGGATGTGTCTGAATAAACCACTGCTTATTAGTTATGCTGGTTACCATGGAGACAGGTAGTGGGCAGAGAACATGAGTGTATAAATTGTGTGTGTGTAAGCTGTTGTGTTTGTCATGGAGATTAATGCAGCAGAATGTTAGGTGTTCAGGAACTCTGTGTGTGTGTGTGTGTGTGTGTGTGAGTGTGTGAGAGAGAGAGAGAGTGAGAGATTGTTACCGGTTGCCGTGGAGATGCATGCAGCGCACAGTGGAGGTGTGCCCATACAGCGTGTGGACACACTCTCCGCTCTCGGCGTCCCACACACGAAGCGTCCTGTCAGTGGAGCCGCTGATCACCGTGGCAACCGCCATCTGACTGCACCAAACCCCGCCAGTCTGACCGCAGACACTGGGAGAGACATTTGTAACAGGTGTTTAGTGAACCTGTGGTCATTCAGTTTGAAACTAGTCGGACTCAGCACTGACCCGTAGTGGAGCCCATCCAGCTGCACCAGCTGTTTGTCAATTTGAACTTAGCTTGGTCGCACCAGCCGACCAGCTCTTACATAGAGATCAGCTGTTAACACAAGACCGTAAAACTGGACGAGGCTTCACAACTTCCTTACACTTGTAATAATTAAGCCAAAACCTCGAAGGGGGGGGTTAAGGGCCGTGCGGTAGCTGGACGACCGGAAGAGGAGCGTG